CTGCATTCTTTGTTATATATCTGCATGGTAACTGATATAGTACCCTGAAACTTGATGAGAAGTCCTAGGTGTTATTATAACATAAATTTAAAAAATAGGAATAATGAGTCTGCTCTTGTGCATCCATTAGCAGGTGCAAGGTTCTAATAGGAGGATTTACCTTCAGGTCATTCGTAAAATCTCATTATTCTTAATACAAAAAATTATTTCTCCCAAGCAGCTTGTGCTTCTTTTATTGTGCTGTTTGATAAGCTTCCCTTCTCATTTCAAATCTTTCCTGAAAGCACATCTTTTCTCTACTGGTTGAATTAGATTTAATTTCTTATTTTGCTAATGCTTTGTATTCTCAATTTAACTTTACAGCTATTGTTTTTTTACAATAATTATGTAAATATTTTAGGAGGCAGATATTGTGTGTATTAGAATTGTATTTCATAGTTCTTACATTTATTATTCCAAGGATTATATAATTGCATTTGATCATTACTAAAAATTCAGATATACTTATGTCTATACAAAGGTCATTTCTTCTGAATTAACAGGGTTAATCCAGCAAAGTATATGAATAATTCAGTTTTTTTTCTCTTCACTATGCAGTATTTTACATTTGTCAACTTTCATTTTAATTTGTCATCATCTTGGTCATTCTTCCACGTTGGTTAGCTTCTTCTGGTGTCCCTCACATTCGTCTTTGGATTTGACTAATCTAAATAATTTTGTGTCATCACCAAATTTGGCTGTCAGATTCCTGTTTCCAAATAACTCATAAATATATTAAACATCATCGGCTAAACCATATTTCACCTTTATGCCATGGCTACATAAATGCCATTTAGGCGCATAAAATTGAAATTGGATTTAGTCGCCACCAGGTCTAGTAAAAAAACCTTGGGGTAACCTGCTATTAACTTTTTTTCATGAAGAAAGATTCCCATTTCTTAATCCTATCTTACTGTCTGAACCCAGGGCTTGTGAGATGTTGTGCCAAATATCTTTCAAAAGTCTAAATAAATTATATCAACTGAGTTGGCAGGGAGTCTGGGGAGTCAGCTCCAGGACGAAGTGTCAGGTGGTGGAGGGGCTGGCTGGGCCACAAGAATGCCCCAGCCTGCAGAGCCCTGTGGCTAGGCAGCAGGCAGGGGTTTGGCCCCTGCTGCCTGGACTGACTGCCCAGGTCAGCATTTACACATATACATTAGTGATACACAGGGGGTGCATGTGCACCCTCTGAGACTGGTTGCCGCTCGCCCCCCCGCCACAGCTACAACTGCCGTGGGTGGTCCCCTCTTGGCCTACCCTCGCCACCGATGTCAGCATGGCCACCTGAGGGTGGTCCCCACTGCCGCCATTGCCACCTGCAGGCAGTTGCTGTGCCCCCCTGGCCTCAGGAAGCATGAGGTATTCATGCACATGTATTTAGTAGGGCTGTGCAAAATTTCAGCAGGTGTTCTGAAGCTGTTTCAATGTGTTTCAAGCTTGAAACAGAAAAATCAAAATGAAATAAAAGGCTTTGAAATGAAATGAAGGCACTCGAAACATTTTGAGTTTCAAAGCCGGTTTTGTTGGGGAAGTGATCAGACAGCTGGGGAATCAAACCGGGCACAGTTCCCAGTTGGATTCCCCAGCTCTCTGATTGCTTCCCCCAGCTCTTTTCAGGGGCCACTGGCACTAGCTGCAACAAGAGACCTGCAGACTGGGGAGCTGTGCTGCGGTCTTCCCTATGAAGCTCAGCCTGGTGGCAGGAAAGCCAGTGGCAGAGCCACTTGGAGCACAGCCCTTGCTTCAAGTGCAGCCCTGGCCAGTGGCTCTCCCCCACCTCCTGCTGCCTCCTGCTGCAAGGCTCAGCTCCGTGGGGCTGGGGAGCTGCTCGGAGTGCAGCCTGGTGGTGGTAGGTGGGGGAGAGCCAGGGCTGCACTCTAAACAGCTCCACCAGCTCCATGGAGCTCAACCCAGTGGTGGGATAGCCAGTGGTGGAGCTGCTCAGAGCACAGCCCTGGCCAGTGGCTCTCTTGCCACCTCCCACTGCCAGGTTCAGCACCATGGGGTTGCGGAACCTCCTGCCACTGGGCTGTGCTCACCAGGGCTGCACTCTGAGTGGCTTCACCATTGGCTCTTCCACCACTTCCCGCCACAGAGCTGAGCTCCAAGGGGATGGCAGAGCTGCTTGGAGCACAGCCTTGGCTCTGAGTGCAGCCCTGGTGAGCACAAGCCAGCAGCTGGAGGCTCCGCAGCCCCACGGAGCTGAGCCTGGTGGTGGGAGGCGGCAGAGAGCCAGTAGTGGAGCCGCTCAGAGCGCAGCCCTGGCTCCGAGTGCAGCTGTAGCCAATGGCTCTCCCCTGCCTCCTACCACCAGGCTCAGCTCTGTAGGGCTGGCAGAGCCACTTGGAATGCAGCCCAGCGGCAGGAGGTGGAGAGAGCCAGGTCTGTGCGGCTCCACCAGCCCCATGGAGCTCAACCTGCCCTCCCAGTGCTGCCACCAAGCGTCGGGAAGATCCCAGTGCCACCTCTGCTGCAGCCCCAGGAGTGGTGGATGCTGCCTGACTGCAGCCACTGGGCTGCATCGTGCCCTGAACTCCCTTGCACAGTTCAGCCCAGTGGCTGCAGGCACCGCTTCCGGGGCTGCAACAAGGATGGCGCCATGCTCTCCCCAGTGCTCAAGGCAGGCCGCAATGAGGAAAGTGGGGCTGCTGCCACCCCAAAATTCACTGTAGCCCCCCCACACCTGCCCTCCCAGCACTACCACTGAGTGCAGGCCTCCCAGGGGGCATGGGCCCCCCAGATCTGCATGCAGGATGGCAGGAGGTTGCCACTGCTGCCTGGAGTCAGCAACAGCAGCAGTCTTCCCAGCACCGGACCCAGGCTGAAAGCAAGATCTGCTCACGGGATGACAGCAAGCTGCCTCTGCCGGCTAGTGATATGAGTTTGGTTTCAGTTGTTTGAGGTGCACTTGCACAAAACCCCCTGCACCTATCTCCTTGCAGCTTGGCAGGCTTCATGCCTTCAGGAGGGTCTACCATCCTTGCAATTTTCATCCAAATCAGACAAAAATTGCAAAGTTATAGGCATTTTTATGATTCCACATTATAACCTATAGGCGAAACATCGAAACAGCAAAACAGTTTCAATTAAACTAAATGGAGCAGTGCTTCAAAACAAAATGAAATGATGAAACGAAACACTGTCCTTTCAAAATGGTGAAATGGAAGTCAAGATGAAATGGTGCTGTTTCACGCAGCCCTAGTATTTAAGCAGTTATTTTTGCCACTGTAAGACAGTACTGTCCCCAGCAGTGCTATTTTATGGCAGTGAAAATTATTCTTCTGTAGTCAAATAACGTTTCATGTGTAGATGTGTGGAAGCATTGCTTGTGTAGAACACAAGACAGGAAAGTACCTCCTAGGCCACAGAGCATGCTGTAGGTAAAAGCAAGGGAGGTGAGGGCACTGTCAATGTCCTACGCTGCAATGACAAGGAACTAATTGATTAATGGTTTTCTTTAGTGGCAGTGCAGAGCTCTAACCACTACACTGAACTGCCTCAAAGACAACACATAGGCTAGGACAGACATTGTACATAAAACAGTTTAAGTGATCAGAAACTGGTTTAAACTTGTAACAGAACAAATGTTCAGTGCTCATAAACCAGTCTGAAAATGGCTGAAACTGGTTTGAGATAAACCTGGTTGAATGTAGTATCAGTCTTAACTGATTTGGGTCAAACCAGGTTTATGCAATGTCTGTCCCAGACCCCTTGCTAGTTTCAGTTAAATCAGTCCCCCAGTATCCCAGCATGCTCTCTGGGCTGGGCAGGACTCTCTGCTCCACTGCAACCCCTCTGTTCTCTAACAGGAACAGGGGTGGGGCATGGCCAGCGTTAGCCTGCTATGGCCTCTGAGGCAAAGGGCCATAAAGGGAGTTTAGTTCCCTCCTCCATCACCTTGGACCGCACCTGAGGTTTGCTAGCCCGGCTGCACCTCTGTGGCTTGTAGCCAGGCAAGGAGGGAGTTAATTCCTCCCTCTGCCCCTCCCCCCTCCCCACTTTGGCCATGGACTCCATGGCTTGCCAGCAGCCAGGGGGTTAATTTAATTTCACAGTGGGTCTGGGAAAGAGATGGGGGAGGGAGGAGAGGGACACTGGTGAAGGCTGCTTTGCCCTGCCCAGCAGACCCTGGTTGAGGTCCCTACTGGTTAGATAAGAAGGGAGGGGGGAATAAACCCCCACACTGCTTGCGCTACCAAGGCACCCTGTCCCATAGGCGGACTAATGAAACTAAAGAATTTCTTTTGCAAAAATCTAGTTAGTCTAATAAAAGCTATCACCTCTACCACAAGCCCTGATACCTTTTGGCTGTAAGGAGACACTGCCCTCAGGATTACGGAAGATTCATGCAAGGCTTTCTCTTCTCTTCCTGGTTTATACTTTAAGTTGGACTAAGTTGTGTATGCTGTGTTTTACTGGGCTGTATTTTAGCTTAGGCAAAGATTTTTGGTAGTTCCCTGATGTATGCTTGAGGCTGCAAATTGCTGTGTTCAATACATGCTTGCTTCAGAGAAAGGACTTTTCCCCCACTCCTCATTCTGGCAGCAGCTGTCCCCCTTCTCCCACCTGCTAGCCCCCGCTGGTGCCTGGCCATGTCCCCTCTGCTCCAGCAGGGAGAGATGAGAGCCTTGAAGGGCATCTCTCTTCCCTCCCCTTTGCTAGTAGCTGGCAGGCGTGCTCTAGCACCTTCTGGCTTGAGACACTACAGGTATGTGCATCTATCCACTTGCAAACCAGTTCACTGTCTGCAGGTTAAACTAACCTGCAAAGACTGAATCATTCAGGCTCAGGCTTTTTGCCCATCTGTCCCTAGGCATAATGAGTAACATAGGCTTATGAAGCTGCTCTTTCTCCCCTACAAACTCCTATATACACACAGGAGGGAGAAATAGGGATACAGCTTACATGAGAGTAACTGAGCAAGATCACAGCACATAAAAAAAAAATGTCATCATTCATACCTGGCCTGGTTGTAATTCTTTGTGTTGCTTCAGGGTAAACTGAAGTATTAGGGAAAATAAAAGTTGCACCTCCTGTAAACAGAAGAGGAGACAAACCACTTTAGAATTGGTTATCCCAGTCTTATGCTTATTTGTGCCTCTGATGCACCATGGTCAGCTACAGTACATTTAGTTGAATCAATTGCATTAAAAAATATCCTGTTCCTCAGGAGTGTGGTTTATAGAATTTGTTACTGATCTCCCTTACGCCAGGGTAAACCTGTTCAAACCTGTGGTGATGCATCAGTGAAAGGACAGTGCAAGAAGGAAGAAAATAAAGTCTAAATTTTTCAAATTTAGAAAAGCTCATGTCACATTTCAAATGGTTTCATCCTTGTTGTGAAATACAAAGTTGTGCTGCCTGGTCATCATTAGCAACGTGCATATATTTTCAGCAGACAATTGATGGCATGAACCAAAGCCCAGTGAAGCCAGTGAGTCTTTTCGTTTATTCAAATTGGCTTTGGGTCAGGATCTCAGATAATTAATTCTCTATGTACAGTGAGAAACAGTATACATCCACTTTGATACAAAAACATGTTTTCTGACTATTTCAGGCATTAAAATCACTTT